CCCCCCCCCCGACTACAGAGGATCCCCTGTGTGCCAGAATCAGCTAAGTGTGTGTGGGCACTGACAAGCCCTCCCCTCAACAGACAGGCACTGAACCTCCAGCACATCCCAGGCCTGGCCTAGGCCCTGGGGATACAGCAGTGGGCAAAATAGACAAAGACCCCATTCTCTTGATATTCCCATCCCTGTGACAGAGCCAGATAACAAGTAAAAGATATGATAAGTCAGATGTGGTGGCGTTAGGGAGAAAAGTAAAGGAGGAAAGGTGTGCAGAGGGATCAGGGAAGGTTACAAAGTTACCCAGAAGGGATCTCCTAGAGAAGGTGATATCTGAGCCAAGTCCTGATGGGTGAGAAGAGAGTTGGCCTGAGTAGTCCAGGCAGAGGGACAGCAAGTACAAAGGCCCTGAGGCAGCCTGTGCCTGATATGAGAGAACAGGACTAGAGGAGGGGGCAGATCACAGAGGACCCTTTGAGCCATTTCCAGGACCTTGGGCTTCTCTGTGGGTGAGGTTAAGGGGCCCGCCGTGGTGTGCCAAAGCTGTCGGCACAGACTCTCAAGGGCTGATCCGATGCATCTTTTTCCAGCTCCCCAGTCACTGACATGCTGGTAGTTTGAAATGGGCCATGGTGGGAGTATTTACATCGAAATCGCCTCCCCCACTTTGTAGAACCAGGTATTAAATATTTACAGCCAACACTACAAGCATGGGAGTGTTTCGAGCACCGTCTCCGTCAGATGCCCCCAAACCCCTCTGACCGACAAGTCTTTGGAGGCTGAGTAACCGACACAAGGGTACACAGCTGAGGAAATGTCTAAAATGAGGGTTGGATCTCCGCTGAGTTCAGACTTCACTGTCTCTACCACTGGGCCATGTAATTTTATGACTGGCAGGCGGTGTTCGCTCGTGTGTGTATCTTCCCACTATTTCCACGTTAAGAAGCTGTGAGTGTGTATACGGTTCTGTACCTATGAGCGATGGTGTGTGTGTGTGTGTGTGTTCCTAACCTTTGTATTGTGTAACTGTAGGGGTGTGTATGGGCGGGGCAGCTGGTCCCAGGTCAGGCCCCCTCCCCTGAGCTCTGCCCCCCACAGGACATCCCAGATTTGGAGAGCCAGCGAGAAAATCTAGAGCAGCCGTTCCTGAGTGTGTTCAAGAAGGGGCGGCGGAGGGTGCCTGTGAGGAATCTGGGCAAGGTCATACACTATGCCAAGGTCCAGCTGCGATTCCAGCACAGCCAGGTGGGGCCAGGCCGGGCCGAGCGGGGAGGGGGCAGGGGTGCTCGGGTACCAGCCTGGGGCCTGACCCCCAGCCCGTCACACCGGCAGCCCTGCTCTCCCCCAGGACATCAGCGACTGCTTCCTGGAGCTGTTCCCCTCTTACCTGTACTTCCAGGCCCATGGTTCCAAAGGACTCACCTTCCAGGTGCGGGGAAACAGGCAAAGGGCGGAGGCTAGGGGTAGAGGGAGAGAGCAGCCTCCTGGGAGGTGGGTGTCCACGTCCCACTAGGGGTCCCCCAGCCCTCCTCTCCCCCACGTGCTCTGGCAGGGGCTGTTACCACTGATGGAGCTGAGTGTCTGCCCGCTCGAGGGATCCAGAGAGCATGCCTTCCAGATCACAGGTGTGTGGGGGGCATGAGTGGGCCTGGCCCCCAGGAGGGACCTCTAGCTGGGGCTGCTCAGGGACCTCGGTCTGGCTGAGCTTCAGAACAATGGAGGGACCCTGAGTGCACTGGGGGATCCTGGCTTTTCCTCCAGTGTGCCCATGAGCATTTGCTGGGCAGGGGTGCAAGGTAGCGGGTAGGGGACCTCCAGGGCTGTGAACGTGGCCCTGTTAGTGGCCGATGGTCCCAGATGGTGTCACAGGCTCCTCCTGTTCCAGGCCTTGGGGTGCCCATGGATCCCTTGGGCAGGGCCTGTCCTGTGGGCTGCTGGCCCAGCCCGCTCCACCCCTCCACCCCCAGGCCCGCTGCCTGCTCCCCTTCTCGTGCTCTGCTCCAGCCAGGCTGAGCTGGGCCGCTGGCTGTACCACCTGGAAAAGCAGATGGCCCTCGTGGGAGGGCTGCAGCACTGCCGCTCATCGCCCCCGCGGGTGAGTGCCAGGAACCCCCACCCCCCTTTCCCATCCCCCCTGCGCCCGCACCCTCTGCCTGCCCCTGACCCCCCTCCACTAGGGCCTCCCTGAGGACGAGCTGCCCTGGACTCTGCAGCGCAGACTGACCCGGCTGCGGACAGCATCGGGGCGTCAGATGGTGGGTAGTGCCATCTGTGCCTCGAGGGTCAAGCTTCAGCATCTGCCTTCACAGGTGCGTGGGAGGCGGGGGGACCCAGGGGTGACAGGAGAGGGGGCCACAGGGATGAAGACATGGGGGCACAGGACGGATGGGAGGGGGAATGGAGGAGGGGACAAAAGATGGGGGAGGGGTGAGGAACGGGGTCCAGGCCCTCGCACACACTACTGGTCGAGCCCCCCCCTCTGCCTTTGACTCCCTTGCAGGAACAGTGGGACCGGCTCTTGGTCCTGTACCCGACATCA